CCTCACACCCTTCCCTCTCCCCTCCCAAACTCCCTCTCAAAACTCCCTGTTAGCACTCACCTGTTCACAAGCTCCTTGGTTGCTTGCCCACTGCCTTATAAAGCCCTTCCCCCTACCAAGGCTCAGCCAATCAGCAGAGGCTTCTAGAATTCACGGTCCCCCCCTGCCAATCACAGCCAATCACAGCACAAACTCCATCAAGGAGAGGGAAGAGCAGAGGGGAGGTGGGAAAAAAAAACACCCAACACCACCACACACCAAACAAACACAAGCTCAGCATACAGTAAGAAAGCCCCAATAACAACACACACGTCCCCCAAGAGTCCTGTATCTGCTTCTCCTTCACCTGGAGAGTCTCTCTCAAAACTCCCTGTTAGCACTCACCTGTTCGAGTATTTGGTCCTGCTGAGAAGGCAGGGGACTGGACTTCATGTCCTTTCAAGGTCCCTTCCAGTTCCAGTTCTAGGAGATAGGCAATCTCCAATATAACAGGCCCTTGTAAAAGCCATTAATTCAGCTACCTGTGCAGAAGAAACAGCAGGTAAAGGGGCAGATTCCACTACATCCCTGACAGTATAACCTTAAAAGCAAAATCCATCTGTATAAAGCACAAAATCAGGATTATCCAAGGGACTTAAATTATTCTTTCATTAAAACAACAATATTGTACACACAACAATGTTTGAAATACATATATCACAATTAAGACACACAAGACAAATTTGGACAGAACACAAACTTATGCTAATTTTCTTCAGTTAATTTCCAGCAGATATTAGTGCTTTCTGATGATCTGAAAGACAAAGAAAACACTTCTACCCCTATTGGGGTGGCACATTATATCTTAGACTACTTTTCCTTTACAGATGTTCTTGCTAATTTTTGAACAGCCTGCTGTTACCCAATAAGTAGAAGGTTTAATTCAAAGAAAAGGACATTTTTCTTCATGCAGCACACAGTTAGCCTGTGGAACTCCTTGTCCGAGAATGTTGTGAAAGCTAGGACTATAACAAGGTTCAAAAAATAACTGGATACATTCATGGAGGTTGGGTCCATCAATGGCTATTAGCCAGGATGGGTAGGAATGGAGTTGCTAGCCTCTGTTTGTCAGGGGCTGGAAATGGATGACAGGGGCGGGATCACATGATGATTCCCTGTTCTGTTCATTCCCTCCAGGGCACCTGTTTGAAGACAGGCTACTGGGCTAGATGGACCTTTGGACTGATCCAGTACGGCCGTTCCTATGTTTTAAATGTAAGCACTGGGGATGAGGATGAGGTGGAAACAGGAGACAGACTTGTTGAGAGTCTCTTGGCAAGATTAAAATGGGTAAAAAATAAGGGTGCTATGATAGTAGGGGTCCATTATAGATCACCTATCCAGGAGGAAACGTTCAGCACTACAATACGTTGCCTAGCAAGGTTGTGGAGTTGTGGAATCTCTATTATTAAAGATATTTAAAAGTCAACTAGACAAACACCTGTCAGCAAGGGTCTAGATGGTGCTGGGTCCTACCATGAAGGCAGAGGACTGGAGTTGGTGACCTCTCAAGGTCCTTTCCAGTCCTATGTTTCTCGGATTGATGCTATCTGGAAGGGGTTTCAAATACTTTGGAGGATAGGGTCATAATTCAAAATAACCTGGACAAATTGGAGAAATGGTTCCTGAGGGAAACAGGATGAAGTTCAATAAGGACAAATGCAAAGTGCTCCACTTAGGAAGGAACAATCAGTTTCACACACACAGAATGGGAAGTGACTGTCTGGGAAGGCGTCCTGCAGAAAGGGATCTAGGGGTTACAGTGGACCACAAGCTAAATATGAGTCAACAGTGTGACGCTGTTGCAAAAAAAGCAAATATGATCCTGGAGCAAGACATGAGAAGTCATTCTTCCACTCTACTCTGTGCTGATTAGGCCTCAGTTGGAGTCTTGTGTCCAGTTCTGGGCACCACATTTCAGGAGAGATGTGGAGAAATTGGAGAGAGTCCAGAGAAGAGCAACAAGAATGATTAAACTATCTGGAGAACATGAGCTATGAGGGAAGGCTAAATGAACTGGGCTTGTTTAGTTTAGAAAAGAGAAGACTGAGGGGGGACATGATAGCCGTTTTCAGGTATCTAAAAGGGTGTTACAAGGAAGAGGGAGAAAACTTGTTCATCTTGGCCTCTGAGGACAGGACAAGAAGCAATGGGCTTAAACTGCAGCAAGGGAGGTTTAGATTGGACATTAGGAAAAAGTTCCTAACTGTCAGGGTGGTCAAACACTGGAATAAATTGCCAAGGGAGGTTGTGGAATCACCATCTCTGGAGATATTTAAGAGCAGGTTGGACAGACACCTGTGAGAGATTATCTAGACAGTGCTTGGTTCTGTTATGAAGGCAGGGATTGGATTTGATAATCTCTCGAGGCCCCTTCCAGTTCTGGTGTTCTATGGTTCTATCTTTAGTTACGAAGGAATGCCAACTTTCTGCACCCAGTAGCAGGCTCCATAGTAAATCCCACGCTTGCAGCATTGCAGATACACAATCCTCGTCCATTTTATGGATCTGTTGTATTACAGGCCAGCCCAGGGGCTCTGAGCAAGAGCAGGACCCCATGGACCTGGAGACTGTGTAGCATCAAAAAACCATCCCTCCTCCAAAGCCTTCCTGATCTGAATCTATCTGTGCTCTGCCTTGCAAAGCTGTCAGCAGCCACCTCCCCAGCAGAGCGGTGCCTGACTCCCACATGCAGCTCTGTGGCTGTGCTTCCGGCTGAGCTGTTTGCACTGCCCTCTCTTGTGCGGTGGGGGGTTTAGTTTCCGTAAACCATTTCATGTGTTCCTCTCGCTGCTCCTCGTGACATGCTGATCCCCCCAGATGCACGCCCCTTCCTGCTGTCCACACCCAGAAAAGGGAACTGGACTCACTCTTTGCTCTACTCTCATCCTGTTGGCATCCAGCTGCTCACAAGAGCTCCTCGGAGCCCAGTGTGCAAGCTACAGGAAGCAAATGAGCTGGTAAAGCAGCAGCTGCCTGGAAGGATTTTGCAATTTTGCAGAAGTCAGAAGGACTTGCCACCTGTAGCAGACACAGTATGTCCCGAGGTAAAGAGTGAGTGTGTGTGTGTGTTTAAACTTTCTTATCCCCTCCTCTCTGGGCAGAGGGGAATGCATGAGAGGCAAGGATCTAAAGGTGCAGCTGAGACGCATTTATAGGGTTGTTTGGGGATAACTGCTCCTGTCTTGGACTGATCACTGCCTTGGCAGTAAACGTTGCCGGTCACTTTGTGGTATCTGAGTCCAGACAAACTAAAGGCCTTACGGAGCATGGCAGGCCCCGTTGCACACTGCACATCTAATGGAAGGGCCAGTCAGCAGACATGATAGCTAATGCAGAGCAAAAACTGAGCCTTGGTGAGTGATGCAGTGTTGCTAACTGGGGGTATGTCTACACTACAGCGCTAATTCGAACTAGTGCATCTAGACCTAAAAACTAGTTCGAATTAGCATTTTGCTAATTCGAACTACCATGTCTACATTGAGTGGACCCTGAACCGAGGTTAAGGCTGGCCGGAAGCAGTGCCAGCAGGGCATCAGGTTAGGACTTAGAGCGTGGAGCTGCTGTCTCAGGCTAGCCGAGGGCTGTGCTTAAAGGGACCCGACCCCCACCCCGGACAGACAGTTCTCAGGGGTTCCCTGCTTGCAAAGCAGTCCTGGCTTGGATTGCCTGGAGTACCCACACTCGGCACATCACAGCA